TCTATGCTCATGTATTGATAATGAATAACTACATTAATTAATAACAATTATCAATCACATTGATAACTAACAACTAATAATTCAATAAATCAATAATAATCAACAAATAATAATTACATTATTCAGTACCACTTAATAACAATTAAATTGATCAAATATATAATAAAAAAAAATCAATTAAAAACTAAAATTAATTAAAAAAAATAAAAATAACTTAAAAAAATCTTAAAGATATTAAAAAAATAATAAATGATAGAAATTAAAAATCTCAAAAATACATATTAATTAAAAATCAAAAATTATAAATGAAAAATAATCACAACATTATTTACCTACAATTTAACAATTACATTAACCAATAAAAAATAACAAATATAAATCACATGAACAGAGATTAGTGTATAAATTACTACATCAATTATTGTATTAAATTTAATACAATAATTAATACAACCATCACAATTATTTGAGACAAATTAATTAACAATAAAGAAATTATATCAATAATAATAGTAGTAACAATAGCAATAGCAATAACAATAATAATAATAAAGATAACAATGATGATGATGATGATGATCATAATAATAATAATAATAATAACCATAATAATAATAAAGATAACAAGACCAACTAATGATGATGATGATGATGATAATAATAATAATAACAATAACAATAATAATATTAATAATAACAAGAGTAAAAATAACAAACACAATAATATTCAGGAGAATAACATCAATAATAATAATTCTTATAATGATATCAATCAAAAAATATTATCAAAAATATCAAAATTATTCATGCTCATAATTATCATTATACTTAAAAGTTATTGATTAATTTGCTTTCATTAATGAATCATCTAATTAATAATAATTAAAATTGAATAATTAAGCTTAAAAAAAACAAAAGTCTTTAAATCACTTTTATTTATCTATTTATCTATCATCATTTATTTTCCTATTTATCTATCAGTATTTATTTCTCTATTTAATAATGATCTATAATAATGATCATATTAAATATAATAATAATGATAATAAATAAACTAAATAATGATAATAAATAAACTAAAATAATGATCTATAATAATGATATAAATAAACTATAATAATGATAATAAATATATAATAATGATAATAAAATAAACTAAAATAATGATAAAAATATAAACTAAAAATAATGATAATAAATAAAACTATAATAATGATAATAAATAAACTAAAATAATGATAATAAATAAACTAAAATAATGATAATAAATAAACTATAATAATGATAATAAATAAACTATAATAATGATAATAAATAAACTAAAATAATGATAATAAATAAACTATAATAATGATAATAAATAAACTAAAATAATGATAATAAATAAACTAAAATAATGATAATAAATAAACTAAATAAATAATAAATAAAACTAAAATAATGATAATAAATAAACTAAAATAATGACAAATAAAAAAAAAACTATAATAATGATAATAAATAAACTAAAATAATAATAATAAATAAAACTATAATAATGATAATAAATAAACTATAATAATGATAATAAACTAAACTATAATAATGATATAAATAAACTAATAAAATAAATAACTAAAATAATGATAATGATGATAAATAAAACTAAATAATGAATAAAAAAAACTAAATAATAATAAACTATAATAATGATAATAAATAAACTAAATAATACTAATAATAATGATAATAAAATAAACTAAAATAATGATAATAAATAACTAAATAATGATAATAAATAAACTATAATAATGATAATAAATAAACTAAAATAATGATAATAAAAAACTATAATAATGATAATAAAAAACTATAATAATGATAATAAATAAACTAAAAATATAAAATAAAACTATAATAATGATAATAAATAAACTAAAAATTAATATATAATAAATAAACTAAAAATAATGATAATAAATAAAACTAAAATAATGATAATAAAAAACTATAATAATGATAATAAATAAACTAAATAATGATTAAATAAAAAACTAAATAATGATAATAATAAAATAAATAAATAATAAATAAACTATAATAATGATAATAAAAAAAACTATAATAATGATAATAAAAAACTATAATAATGATAATAAATAAACTAAAATAATGATAATAAATAACTAAATAATGATAATAAATAAAATAAATAAACTATAATAATGATAATAAATTAAACTAAAAATAATGATAATAAATAAACTAAAATAATGATAATAAAAATAAACTATAATAATGATTAAATAAATAAACTATAATATGATAATAAATAAACTATAATAATGATAATAAATAAACTAAAATAATGATAATAAATAAACTATAATAATGATAATAAATAAACTATAATAATGATAATAAATAAACTAAAAATGATAATAAATAAACTATAATAATATATAAACTAAATAAATGATAATAAATAACTAAAATAATGATATAATACTATAATAATGATAAATAATAACAATAATGAATGATAATAAATAAACTATAATAATGATTGATAATATATGATAATTAACAACAGTAATAACATTTATGATGATAATGACAAAGGTACATTTACAATTGCTAAACAATATGAAAAAAAGACTTAAAGACTTAAAAAATAATTGTATGCATTATATATATATTGTGTGTGTGTGTGTGTTGTGTGTGTGTGTTTGTGTGTGTGTGTGTGTGTGTGTGTGTGGTGTGTGTGCTGTGTGTGTGTGTGTGTGTGTGTGTGTGTGTGTGTTGTGTGTGTTGTGTGTGTGTGTGTGTGTGTGTGTTTGTTGTGTGTTGTGTGTGTTGTGTGTTTGTGTGTGTGTGTGTGTGTGTGTGTGTGTGTGTGTGTGTGTGTGTGTGTGTGTGTGTGTGTGTGTGTGTGTGTCTGTGTGTGTGTGTGTGTGTGTTGTGGTGTGTGTGTGTGTGTTGTGTGTGTGTGTGTGTGTGTTGTGTGTGTGTGTTGGTATGGAAGACAAAGAGAAGAAGGAAGGGAAGAGGGAGAGGGAGAGGGAGAGGGAGAGGGAGAGGGAGAGAGAGGGAGAGGAGAGGGAGAGGAGAGGGAGAGGAGAGGAGAGGGAGAGGGAGAGGGAGAGGGAGAGGGAGAGGGAAGAGAGGAGGGGGGAGAGAGGAGAGAGAGAGAAGAGAGAGAGAGATGGGAGAGAGAGAGATGAGAGAGAGGAGGACAGTGAGAGGAGAGAGAAGAGGGAGAGAGAAGATTGAGAGAGAGAGGTGAGGAAGAGAGGAGAGAGGTGAGCATGAGAGATGAGAGGGAGAGAGTAGAGGAGAGAGAGAGACAGTGAGGGTGAAGAGAGAGGGGAGAAGAGAGGAGAGACATGAGAGAGAGAGAGAGAGAGACAGTGAGAGTGAGAGAGAGAGAGAGAGGAGAGAGAGACAGTGAGAGAGAGAGAGAGATAGACAGTCAGAGAGAGAGAGAGAGAGAGAGAGAGAGAGAGAGAGAGAGAGAGAGAGAGAGGGAGAGAGAGAAGAGAGAGACAGAGAGAGAGAGAGAAGAGAGAGAGAGAGAGAAGACAGAGGGAAAGAGAGAGAGACAGAGGGAAAGAGAGAGAGACAGAGGGAAAGAGAAGAGAGACAGAGGGAAAGAGAGAGAGACAGAGAGAGAGGAGAGAAGAAAGAAAGAAAGAGAAAGAAAGAAAGAGAAGAGAAAAGAAGAAAAGAAAGAAAGAGAAGAGAGAAAGAAGAGAGAGAGAGAGAGAGAGAGAGGAGAGAGAGAGAGAGAGAGAGAGAGAGAGAGAAGAGAGAGAGAGAGAGAGAGAGAGAGAGAGAGAGAGAGAGAGAGTGAGAGAGAGAGAGAGAGAGAGAGAGAGAGAGAGAGAGAGAGAGAGAGAGAGAGAGAGAGAGAGAGAGGAGAGAGAGAGAGAGAGAGAGAGAGAGGAGAGAGAGAGAGAAGAAAAGACAAAGAATATCAGAGAAAGACAGACACACACTAAAATTATGACTAGAACTATTACAAACAAAATCTACAAAAAAAATATTTTCTCGGACCAGAAAAGGTCACTTGGAAGGGATGTCGGACAAGGTCGCTTCCGAAGGTCGCTTCAAAAGGTCGTTTCGTCGCATCCCAAACAGGGTATTACACAGGCACTGGTATACACATGCAGGACCAGTACCTGATGTAATACTCAATCCGAGATGCGCACACAGGACTCCGGCATGCGCACACAAGCTGCTTCGGAATCCATGCGTACACAAGGATGGTTGGGGATCCATGCGTACACAAAGATGGTTGGGAATCCATGCGTACATAGGAATCCATGCGCACACTAGCTGCTAGGAAATCCATGCGAACATAGGTCGGGTTTCCATGCAATTATGAGTGGGATTGAGGAATAGACAGGTTCATATGGACTTCCGTGTGTAGTCGAAGTCTTTTTGTTTTCCTACGTACATGTAGGGTATCTAGATACATATGTGGGCTTGTCTGCTACGTACACACGTTACCTCGGCAGGCACACACTGTTCCTAAGAATCCTTTTAACAAACATACAGGAGCGAGGTTTCATTAATGGATTATCACCCAATACATACATGGATGATTTCTACGCATACACATTCCATATCATTACGTAGATTTTTTCATGATGTATAAAAGCCATTCCAATGAATACACATGCTTTGAAATATTTAAATAAAGATCAATATATAACCATATATATATAGATATATACATATATATATATATATATATATATATATATATATATTATATATATATATATATATATATTATTATATATATATATATATATATATATATATATTATATATATGTATATATATATATATAATATATATATATATATATATATATATATATATATATATATATATATATGTATATGTATATATA